GTTCAAGTTTTTTCCAATACCTTTGACTCATAGGTATAAGGTTATCTCTAGGTCAAGGTTCTGTCAAACTTAATTTCAAATTTTCTATATTGTTATCTACTTTGTTAGAGATTGCTTAACCATATGAACAAGAGGTCCACATCACGAGTAGAGTGACATTGAATTAAGTGTAAATATATAAGGGAGTGTGCGAGAAATCTTTTCCTTGGTACTAAACTTTATTGCAAGTATTCAATATGTCATAAAAAAGTGTAAATCAATAAAAAATAAAGGATTATGTAGAAAGACAAATAGGTTAGAGGTATGAAAGATGGATAAATTGAGTACTAAAATGATTGATAAACATTATATTCCTAGTCATAAAAGAAATGAGGTTAAAATGTCTACTAGATGAGCACTTTCTCCTCTAGATGAAAGTGTAGCTGAAAAATTCAATGATGATAAGAAAGATGGTGTAGTTAATCATGGATGGAAGTTACGTACATACCAAAATCCTTTATTTGAGACACGACTAATGAGACAGTTTGGTGGTATATTTTAGCCAAATAAGGATTTTGGTCAGGGAAGGAATTTTGATGATCATGATGATTTAGATTGTAATTTAGATAGTATAAAACTTAATTTTTCAGCATTTCAAAGAAACAAATATTGAAATGGTTATTTAGAATGGGAAAAGAAAGTGGAATTTATATTTTATTGTCATTAATGTTTAAAGAAAAATAAGTAAAACTATTTGTAATTGAATTTACTAATTATACTATTACTTAATGGGATCAACTTGTTACAAGTAATAGGTGTAATAGAGAAAGATCTGTTGACATATGGAAGGAAATGGAAACAATCATGAGGAATAAGCTTGTCCTTAATCATTACTATAGGAAAGTATATAATATATTACAATCTTTATCTTATGGTTCTAAAAACGTTGGTGAGTATTTTAAGGAGATGGAAATAAGTATAATTAGAATTAATGTTTTTTAAGATAGAGAAGCCACAATGACTAGATTTTTAAATGGTTTAAATATAGATATTACTAATGTGATTGAGTTGCATTATTATTTGAAAATCAAAGATATAGTGTATATGACTATAAAAGTGGAAAAATAGTTGAAAAGAAAAGATAATGCAAGACTATATGGTTATTTGGGATCCTCTTAAGGTTTGAAGTCTAGTTTCAAGAAAAATAGTAATGCAAAAACAAAGTCAATAACAGTACCTAAAGTTTTCAAACCTTCATATATTGAAAAACAAATTGCAACATTAAAGGAAAAATAAAAAAATAATGTTCAGCAGAATCATAAATGAAATATTAAATGTTTTCGATGTCAATAGTAACGCAAAAACAAAGTCAATAACAGTACCTAAAGTTTTCAAACCTTCATATATTGAAAAACAAATTGCAACATTAAAGGAAAAATAAAAAAATAATGTTCAGCAGAATCATAAACGAAATATTAAATGTTTTCGATGCCAAGGACTTGGACATTATACATTAGAGTGTCCAAATAGAAAGTAAAGAAATCCAAATATATCAAAAGATTAAAGCCATAAACAATTTCAAAAGAAAAATAATCAGTGGTTGAATGCAAATTTTTATTATAAACAAATTCAGTTAATTATAGACAATCTTTCTAACTTGTTAAAATCTTTTGAGTGATAGTCCTTAACAAATATGTTAAAGTTCTTTAACTACTTCGGTTTGATTATTTGTTTATGGATGACAAGTAATAAAAAATAATAATTTTGATTTTAATTTCCCCTATAAAAACTTTCAAAAGTAGTTATGAAATATAACATCGCAGTCAAACATAATGCTTTTAGATACTCCATGTAACTAAACTATCTCCTTAAAGAATAAGTTCGCTATGCTAGTTGCATCATCAATCTTATAACAAGATATGAGATATGTCATCTTAAAAAACCTATCCACAGCTATAAAAATATAACCCCTACTGTTTTTTGACCTAGGCAAACTTAACATAGAATCCATAGATATTAGCTTAAGATTCTTTTGGCATTGTAAAAAGAGTATATAAACCATAAGGTAAAACTTCAAACTTAACTTATTTACATGTTATATATTTATCATAAATTCTTTGCACATCTCTTTTCATCTTAGGCTAATAAAAATACTTATATAAAACATCTAAAGTCTTAGCAACCCCAAAGTGTTTTATTAATCTATCTCCGTGAGTTTTACATTCTAGCAATTCATGCATTTAACAATTAAATGCATATAATCTCTTTTCTTTAAATAAATATCCAACAAATATAATATTTTTCATTTAAAAGTCCCACCTGTTCAAATTTGCATATAAATATTTTTTTTTTACAAAACAACTAATACATTCCTTGAATATTTAATTTTCTCCTTTAAATTCTTGCTATAAATCAAAATATCATCAAAATAAACTATAATAAACTTACATATAAAATTATGTAAAACATGGTTCATTAATCTTATGAAAATACTAGGTGTATTTTTTTTTCATGGCGGGCCCCACCTCCCAAGGCAGTATGCATCACATAATTACCTCTGTTTAACAATGTTAGCTTTAATCTCTTTCTCTTCATTGATTTTCATGTCAATGTTAGTTTAATCTCTCTTTCTTCATTGATTTTCATGTTCAGTCTTCTAAAATTTCATAGTAGCTCTTTAATTTATTTATCCTTCACATTTGATTTTTGTTTTTTTTAATTGATAATTTTTTATTTGAATTACTTTATAGAATTGAAATTAATTTTCAATTTTATTCTTTAATTTTTTTAATTTATCATGTTTGATCTCTATTTTTTTATTTTTATTTATTTTATTTCAGATCATTTTTCTTATTAATTCATCCTTCATTTTTTATTGTAATTTTTTTTTTTACTTTGACAAATTTTTTTAAATTGATTTTTTTTTAATTTCATCTTTTAATACTGAATTAGATTTATTAATTAAATCTGAGTATAGGATTTAACAAATTATGAATTTAGAAGATTATTAAATAGAAAATTATTAAAGTTTAAGAAATTCATTCGAATTTATATTTATATTTTTTAAAATTAATATTTTTTAAATTTTAACTTTTAATATTTAAATTAATTAAATATTTAACTCCATCATAATTTTCATGATTCCAAAGTTACCATCCAGGAGCAAGGACAATCCAGGGGCCCTCCCCTGGGCACCTCTTGCAAATCAAAAGACCCAATACCCAGGCAACACTCTCTTGTTATTTCGTTCACTCCAAGCAAGGGATAGTACTAAATTATGGTCCCATCCTGGACCAAACTCAGTAAAGATAAATCATGATGCTTTATTGAAAGATCATGGTGGCATTGGTATAGCTTGTAGGGATTATATATATATATATATGCTATAGAGGCCTTCTAATTGTAGGAATAGGCCTTTAAGAGGACAAGTTGATCAATCCGCCTCCAAGGAGAAGCAATGGTGATTAGTTGGAGAAGCTCTAAAACTTGCAGAAACTTTTTCTCCAGCACCAGTGCTTGCTGTATCGAGTTCCCTCCTTGTTAAATCGGGTATAAAATTGCTTTGACCCAGAGAAAGAATGGTTGGACAGTTGTGGTCGGCAAAAAGGCAGTGGAGGTGGCGGCTAGTTTTTTTTTTTTAATAGTAAAATTATAATATTTAATTAAAAATTATTTAGTTATAAAGAAATAAGCTAATATTTTTGTGTTGATTTGTTTCTTATGCTTGTTAGAGTGCAGAAGTAAAGTAGGAGTGAAGACGTAAAGTGTAAAGTCTATGATGTAAATTATAATTTTTTAAAGAATAAAGATAAAGTAAAAAAAACAACCTAATTATAGGCTATGAGAATAATTTTTTCAAGAATAAAATATTGGATTATTCTTTAGTCTAGGTTTTGAATGTAGTTATAACTTAGTCCTTCTATTCCAATTGATCTTTGCTGACCATATATTTTTTAAATATTAACTGAGCTTTTATGATTGTTTGATCTTTGCTGACCATATATTTTTTAAGTATTAACTGAGCTTTTGAGTTTTTATGATTGTGGTTAATTTTAATAATTGCAGTTTAAAATATATTTATTAAAAAAAAGATAAATTATAAAATTGTTTGGTTAAAATTTTTGTTAAAAATATTGGTGTAAATAAAATGACATGAAAGACCATGTATGTTTTGTATTTTTTAAACAAAAGATAAAAATATTAGAAAAAAATAAAAGGAGAATTTGATTACTAATACAAAATAAATATAATTGCTCATTTTAAAGGTCCTAATTTAACTTAAGACCAACAAAATCAACCATATATACACATTATCATGATTAGGTGCATAAATTGCTATCATTAGATGATAATACTATTTGAATTAACAATAAATTTGTATGGTTTTCAAACACTTTTTTAAATTAATTTTGTAAGTTCCCAAATAGCTGATTTACTTCTTTCTTTCATTCTTGAACGTTGTAAAAGCATAAATTTATTGTTTTTATAAAAATTCAACCACAATTTTGAAAGGATCCTACATATTTATTATTTAAAAAAAAACATATTTATAAGTATGTTGAAGAGAAAGCAACCCAAACACGAAAACAAATTAACCTATATTTTAGATTTTATTGAGTTTTATTAAATTATTCTTTAATCAATCTCAATATTAATTACAGTTTTAACTAAATATTTATAAATATAAAATTAACTTTAACTAAAATTTTTTTTTATAAAATAATTTATTTTTAAATAATAACTACAATAACTATCATAATATTAAACACATTTAAAAAAAATTCATTATTGGATTTGATAATACAACAATCAACAAAAGCTAAAGACTTAGAATATAAGTTTTCAAAATATATTTAAATAATTTTATTTTTTTGTCTTTAACATTAATATATTAAAATCATTAAAAATACTAAAACAAATATTAATCTAATATTTTTTTTAATAAATACATTAAAAAAAGAGAGTTGAAAACACAATCTCAAACGGTGTCGCCAGCCGTATCCTTGATCCAGCTTGGAAGTCTATTAAGAACATTCCAGCATGTCTGACGCGGTGAGATGCTGGAAAATTAATTTCCTAATTTATGACAGCAATGATCGGATAGACACAGGGAATCCTGGGTGCTGATGCTAAGCAATCTCTTCTACCATTGCTTTGCAAGTTGCAACTCTCAATTTAGCTGGCTCCTTGGGTTGTTAGGCTTATATTTTATTCATGTAAGAGTCAAGAGTCTACTCTGAAGGTTTCAAATTTCTCAAGAACTCGTCTCTCTCACAGAAAGCCATTCAATTGTTTCTTTCTTTCTTATTCTTATATATCCTAACTTCTGGTTGGAGCAGTTCTTCGTTGACACAACAGAGGAAGAACAAGGGCTACAAACATACACACGAGGTTTGATCTTTAACTTCAACTTCTCCATACAGAAAACTAATTCATCTGTTAAGGAAAAGGGTTCTTGGAAATATGGTTTACTGGTGTTTTACTCTTTTTTCGTTGTTGTTGTGTTTCTGATAAGTAAAGAAGGTCATGGGGCATCACCATCATCATCACCACCATCATCATAGCGATAGCCCATATGATGATCCCTTGTTGGCTTGTTGTTGCTGCCCTTGCTTGCTAGTTTCTTCCTTGCTGAGAGGATTTGGGAGATGTATATTTGCAGCTTGTTACCCTCTCTTTCGTTGCTTTGGATTGGAAGACCACCACCACCACCACCATTTCTTTTGATCATTGTTTGGTAGTTTTGTTTCTTTCGTTTTCTAGTTTTACAGCCAAATCGATTGGAAAGAAAAAAGATTTAATTCAAGCGAGATGTTGATTTTTTTTAGTTTTGTGTTTCAGAATTTTCAGTGACTATTGCAATACAGCTGGTTCCTTTTCTTTTCTTTTCTTTTCGTTTTTTTTTTTTGGCTTTGTAGTAATGATGAATGGTAACTATTTGTCATAGCTTATTATGAATTTGTCGAAACATTTGCCTAGCGTTTATGAGCATCCGACAAAACAAGATTAACTTCTGGCACATCTTGGCACCCTGTCGGCTACAATTTTTTTTATACAGACTAACTTGCACGCATCGATTAATTTTCATGATTTATTGAATATCCTGCAAACTCAATAAATATATAAAACATCGTGAGGTAACAGATAAGCATATCAAGACTCGAATCCAGGTTGTGGTTGTTTTTAGAAAATGGTTTTTAAGAAGTTATTTTTTAAATTTATTTATTGTTAAAAAAATTAGTTAATAGGAAATATTTTTTATTTAAAAAAATTTAATTTGATTTTTTTAAAAATATATTTTTGAAAAATTTATGTGAAAAATAATTTTTAAAAATTATAAAAAATTTAGAAATATCATATTATTTATTTATTTATTTATTATATCAATTTTAATCCTTAAATTTTTAATTGTTATATATATTCAATTTTAAATATTTATTTTTTAATTTTATTTTTTAAAATTTTATTTTTATATTAATTTTGGTCTTTATTTTTATAATTATTATTTACTTTTTCTTTGTTATTTTTTTGTTAAAAATTTTTATCTATAAAATTTGATCCTCATTCTTTTATTTATTACTTGTTTTATTTGAAATAATTTATAAAATATTAAATATTATTATTTTAATTTCTTGATTTTAATTTTTTTAATTTTATAGATTTGATATTTACTATTTTAATTATTATTTATTTTATTTGAAATAATTTATGAAATTATATTTTTTTTTAATTTTATTTTCATTTAACTTTTTGATTTGTTCCTCATTATTTTTATAAACTTGAGAAAAATAAAATATTAATAAGTTATTTTTCAGCTCATTTTTCTTAACATAACCAAACATTGTAAAGTGTTTTTCAATTTATTTTTCATTACACTATCAAATATTAGAAACTAATTTATTTTTCTAAAATTTACTTTTAAAAAAAAGATTTTTCAGTAAATAAATGACCTTGCATCAATAATTTTTCATTTAGGTTGGATTTTACTATCATATCCCATATATATATATATATATATAATGACGAATGGTAACATAATTTTCATCTTTTAGTTAAGAAATGACGAATGGTAACATAATTTTCATCTTATAACTAAAAGGAAAAACATTTGTTGATTTCATATTACTTTCTTTCATACTGTTCAAGATTAATATTTTTTTTAGTCTTGAATTAAAGTTTTTTAATCTAATCACTATTTTTTTTTCAATTTTATTATTACACGTGTTATTTCATATTTCAATTTTAGAATTTATTTCAACTATCAGATTTTTGAAATGTCAAAAAAACATCTTTATATTTCATTTTTCTCAATGTTGCCAAAACAAATTTGATTCTGTTGGTTAAAAAATATTAAAAATACAAGAACTCAATTGATATTATGGGTAAAACAAATGGTTTTTTAACTATTTAATTTAAAAAAAAAACATTTGCCTTAAGATTTTGTTAAATAAGTTTTTTGATTTTTTTAGTTTGAAAATTATTCTTTTTAGTCTAAAACTTTATTTTATTTGCATATCAATCTCGAAGTTAAAGAGAAAATAGATGAAATTGTTGAAAACAATTAATGAAAGAAAAAATGTTGGTTAGCTATATTTTAGAAGCTAAAATAGTTAATTTTGATGTTAATGTGTTCTATTTAACAAGAGGTAATAGTTTTCTTCTATATTCTATTTAACAAGAGGTAATAGTTTTCTAAAAACATGCATGAAAAATATAGATCATAATCCATTTAGATTTTTTTTATTTAATTTTTTATTATTATTATTGAGTAATTTTAGAATGTTTTCGAGTTAGTAAGTGGCTTATGAAACTTTTTATATTATTTTTAAGGTATTATAATGTAAAAATTACTCAAAAAATGATTTTTATAGGTTCAAAACCTTAGACCTGAATTTAACTATCACATGAGGTGGTAAAAAAAACATAACAGTAGGTGAGAGATTGCATGCTACAACATATAACCTCTGGCTCATTAAAAAAAAAAAACTAGCAAATACTAAGTATAACATAAACTATATGAAAGTATTTGAGTGATCAAAAGAAGATTTATCACCTAGGTATATTAAAAAAAAACTCCACTATTAGAGGTATTTTGGTAATTTTAGTTTTGACAAGGGCAAAACAATAATTTTACCTCGACTATGGATATTTCAATAATTTCTCAAGTTTAAATTTTATTTTTATTTTACTTGTGCTTTCTCAAGTTTAAATTTTATTTTTATTTTTATTTTACTTGTGTTTATAATTAAAAATAATTATGCAACTATGCATAATTATGAATATTTACCCGATTGAAGTGTTGTGGCGCGCCAGAGCCTATCAAACATGAGGGGTCTCAGATCCTTGGTTAACTTTGAAGAGAAAAAACGATTATCAATGTTTTACAATGAAACTAGGAGGATAAGATTGTGATTTAACTTTTGAGCATTATTCAATATGAGTGCTAGTCCCCATATTGATTGAATTGTTGTTTCAGTGATTATCGATGATTGATTTGCATGATTAATAATTTATTTAATTATAATTGTTACCATGATGATAACATAATGATTTATTGATTAATTGTGTATGATACATCAATATGATTGATAAGATCTTGAGTTTTGTAATTCAATTTTGATTATGTGGTTTGATTTTTTAGTATAAAATAACTTGGTGAGTATCGATTGCTTAATTATTTTTGTGTTCTAATCATTGACATAAAATGAATTTTGAGGATCTTTAAATAGATTTAAAAATCCATGTTTAATTGATTCACCTATAAACAGTTTGTTTTTTATGAATTAATTTTAAAACTTGTGTATTTTTAACCGGTCAACCCATAAGCGATTCATTTTTTATCAAATAAATTTAAAACAAGTCTATTTTTAATAAATTCATCCTTGAAAAGATTATTTGACCAATTCTTATTTTTTTAAAAAAAACCATGTTTAATAAGTCCACCTTTTAGTGGTTTGTTTTGACCAATTAATTTTAAAACCTGTATTTTCTAATTGGTTCACCTATTGGTGGTTTGTTTCTAACTGATTATTTTTTTTAAAATCTTGTATTTCTTTGATCCACTTAAGAGTGGTTTGTTTTGACCATTTGATTTCAAAACTTGTACTTTCTAATCAATTCATCTATGAGCAGTACCGATTATTTTCCTGAAAATATTATGTTTATTCAGTCCATCCAAAAGCGGTTCATTTCTACTATTTGATTTTAAATTTTGAATTTTCTAATTAGTTCACTTATGAGTGACTCGTTTTTTAGCAATTTTTTCTGTTCTGAAAATCATGTGTTTATTTCATCCACTCATGAGCAATTTGTTATAACTATTTAATTCAAAAATCTATATTTACTATTGGCACACTTATGACTAGTTCATTTTTTTACCAATCCTTTTTTGAAAATCAAAGAGTGGTTTCTTTTGACCATATGATTCAAAAAATTGTATTTCCTTATCATTTCAAAGTATTTGATGAAACAATGTGGTTATCATTTCACATCTGAAAGTAAATGTAAATGGCACCACGTGGTGTTGTTTTGTCATCTGAAAGTAAATGTAAATGGCACCACATGGTGTTGTTTTGTTTTTTTTTTCTAAAAAAAACAATGGCCTTTTTCCCCGCATATAAAGAAACAAAGATGTATTTAATGACATTTCACTTTTGTGTTTTCAGCCTAATTTTGATCTCCTTATTCTCCCTCTCACACAAATATTAATGGCCAAAAGTGTAACAGCCTGACCCAACCTGTCATATATTGTCTATTTTGGGCCTCATCGTTCTTACGGTTTTGTTCGTGGTGATGCAAGCCAAAATTTGAGCCTTACTCCCTAAAACGTGTATGACAAATTGACAACCAATACTCTTAATATGGCAAGCTACCACTTTCTAACCTGTCGATGTAGGATATTATAATCCACCCCTTTTAAGGAGTCTAACGACCCTGTCGGCATAACTGGATAGCTAGTAAGGTTGAATTTGATATTAAATGTAACAACTCGACCTAACTTGCCATATATTTTCTGTTTTGGGCCTTATCGCCCTCACAATTTTATTCCTGGTAATATGAGCTCATTTCTGAGCCTCACATCTTAAAACACGTATGACAAGTTGGCAACGAACACTCTTAATAAGGCCTGCTACCACTCCTTCACCCCTGATGTGGGATATTGCAAAAAATCATATTAGACTCATGCTCTGAACTTGTACTACACATTTAGCCAAAGAAATGCTTCATTGCCCCAATGTGCTAGCAGAAAACAAGTTCAAAATAATTGAGTAAAATGTTTAATAATGATGAAAGATCAAGATTGACTTGAGACAATCATTGAACGAATTATTTCTACCTAGAAAGGTTCTAGAACCTTCCTCATGGCCTTTAAATAGAGGTGTTTGTCCTGTAAAAAGGAGAAGAATTCTAAGGAGAGAAAGACTTGAATTTTGAAAAGAATGGGTGAAAGATTGGTTTGAGCTAAAATTATACAATATATTAAAAGGGTTCAGTACTCATATTACTATTTATCTAGACACAAAACATTATGGATTGGAGTAATGTAATGACAGATCAACCCTTATGTTCGAACCCAATACTCCTAAGTCCTGCAACAGGACCCTGTATTCTTGGGTCCGTCATCAGGACCTGGTATTCTTGGATTCAGCATTAGAACTTAAGGCCAATGGGTCGTGGGTCAGGACCCAGACCCAACCACCTTAGGTTAAGTCGGGAACCCGAACCCCAACCCTCTTAGGTTCAGGATAGGATATAAACCCATAACCAACCCTCTTAGGTTTGGACAGGGACCTAAAAACCCAACCACCTTGGATCCGAGTTTTGG